GACAAAGACGCTCGAAAAGAGAGTAAGTGGGCCAAGGAAAGTTGCCGGCTTCGCCCGAGGATGGGACTTTTCCTGGTGGAGGCTGGAATGCAAAGCTACCGTCTGTGTTTTGTTGTCTTCCCTTTTTGCTTTGGCACACTTTTGATTTGTGGTCCGACAGCTCCTGGCTGATCGATGAAAAATGACAGGACCCCTGAAACAACCTGTTCTTTCTTTCTCCCTCTGCAGACTGCTGAGAGTGGAGTTGGGACAAGGAGCCCCTGCAGTCACAAGCATGCAGACGTGCAGAGGGAAACTGAACAGGGTGTAAACTTGTGAACCTGCTCGTCAGAAAGGGGAATGAGCGAATGACGAATGCTCGACAGACTCGGCGTCCCGGTGTGTCCGTATAAAGGTGGACACAACAGAGTCTGATTCGAGCCTGTTTGAATGAGAGTCTTTGTGTGAATGAGCCACAACTCAAACAGTGCATTGTTCCCTGCCACCGCTCATTAGGGGCAGCTTGTTGGCATCGCTGCTTGAATTGTCAGCAGTAATGCATCCTATGCAAATCATAACTCGGAGTGGATTCTCTGGAATCTTCCATTGTCTAATGTCTGGAAGTTCTTTGGTGGCAATTTCAAACACGGCATTGTGTGTGTGTGTGTGTGTTTTTTTAAAGTAGTTAGAACACCTAATTGCTGTTGACTTTCGCGTGCTTGGGTAATTTGGAGAGGGAAAAAGTTGTGGTGTGATTGTTGGGGTTGAGCTCGGCTAACAGAGTTTGCCTGTCAGCAGATATTTCACTCACAGGCTGTTTGTCCCATGTTAAAGAAGCCGACTGTCAGGCAGTTATTCATAGCATTTGTTTTTTTAAATGTGTAAACTGAATTCCTTCTAATTCTGAGAGACATTGAGCTACCATCCTCTCTTCCCTTTCCTCTCCCCGCTGCATCGTGATTAGTTGTCTGGTTGACCCGGTCAGCGACCCGAGGGCTCTGGCTGAATACCTGCTGTACAGGTGCGACCGACACGTCTCTGTCCCTGACCCCTGTGTGCCAGAGAAATGGCTTTCTGCGAATAATTAACCTCTGTAACAAGCCGTGCAGGTGAGATCCAGCCAGGTAATGAAGACTTTAAATTGTGTGTGTGTGTGTGTGTGTGTGTGTGTGTGTGCCTCCACACGTGTCCCCTGACGATCTCTTTGCCTCTGGCCGTTGCTGGTTTCCCTTTGAGGAACTGCCCCGGCCTGTGTTTTAGTGCAGCTAATAGCTGTGCATCAGGGGGACTTTGTCATTTCCTACAAGAGCACGCCGTCCTTTGACAGTGTTTGAAGATTAGAAACTCGCCTTGGCCGCTTTGAAATACGGTACGAGTGCAGTTGAAGGCCGGTGCAGTTTATTTGGCCATTGTGATCGGCAATGTTCTTTAAGATCAGCACGTTAAAGTGTCACCAGACGGTTCACAAAAACAGCTTTGCAGTGGCTAAACACCTACTTTGGGACATGTTACATAATCATACGTGTTTTTAAAGAATTTCCTGTGGATGTGACTTTCTGTGGAGACATTTTTCTTTTGGCTTGAGCCCAAACTTGCCTTTGACTCCGGCCCTCAGCCATTCAAAATGGAAGCCTAAAGTCTCATTTGAATGACATTCTTCTGGACTCTCCTGCTCTTTTCTCTACCTTCCACCGCGCCGCTGAGAATAATAGCCGAACATCCTTGATCTTTTCACACAAGGCGGCGGACGGAGGATTTTCTCCGCAGTAAGAATCATTTAAGTGATCCCTTTGCCAATGGTCAGGGTTGAAGATTGGATTGAAGATTGGAGGTTGGGGGGGGGGGGGTCTCAGTCAGATAATGACATTCCTGAGACCCAGAGATGGACTCTAGAGCCCCATTTAAGCCGCTCAGGTTGAACTGGGAGAGGTCTGTGTATAGACTGGGCAGTTTGAGGAAACCTAGATAGCTTGGAGAGGTGAGCCACCGGTTTTATTGAGAAAAACCTCCACAAGTAGTCCTTCAAACGGCAAATGCAATGTTAGTCAGGAAGCCCTATTTATGGATTAAGCATCCTCCAGATTCTAATTAAAGGATGTTGAAATTGAATAACTGAAAGCTTTTATGATGCTGAGTAGTAGATTAGTATTTATATGTGTAATACATATATAATTGTTGCACTGCACTGTTAAATGCTATTTCTTGTCTTTCGTAACCTAAGTCTGCTTTTGCTGTTGTTTCACCTGAGTGGAAGTGAACTAATTCAACTAAAGATTGATTGGTCAGGAGTCAGGACTGCACTGATGATCGTTTTAACGCCAGCAAAGTGTTTGCTGTTTGTAAAAAATATTCAAAACGGTTGTTTGGAGCAGTTTTCCATGCAACAGCCTCATTTCTTTATCTGTCTCTGTGTCTCAGTTCCCTCCATCCCTCCCCATAGTTCTCTCTTTGATTTCATAACAACAAACATTCTTAGTAATCTGAAGCATGAAAACATTTTAGGGGGAAAAGTTGAATCAATATGAGAATTTCCCTACTTGAAATTGCAAAAAAACAATCTGCATCAAGTGTACAACGTCTCTTTCCTGTGCATCTTTAACAGTGTGATAACGGAGGAGTGAGAGAATAACACTTATTGGATTTAAAGTGTAGCTGTGCGGCGTGATATGACAGCGTTAAACCGATAATCACCGCTGATGCTCGACGGCTGGTGTTGGAGTAGAATCAGCTGAGCTAACTCCTTGTTGAAAGTGACTGTCATCGTTCACTCAAGGAACACAAACAACACAGCCGGCTTCAGCTGAGGAGTTAAGCTGCGATACAATAATACAACCTCTGTGTTTGATAAGAACAGAGTATTACATCATACTCCTCAGCTTCAGCTTCTTAGATGTTCTTTAGGTCGACTGGTGAAACCAAAACACAGCAATAAGTCCGAGAACAGATATTTCTTCATGGACGGCGTTGTCAGATGATTGGACAGAGACACCGTGGGACCTGTGGAGTCTGTGAAGTCACAGCCACGAAGCCTTAAACTGTCACGGATTCTTTCAAACTTTGTTTTTTGCTCATGTTGTGCAAAAGCTGCTGTTCCCCCACAACATTCTTGCATTCTTGCCTTCCTCCAAACCCACCTCATTAGTTTGCTATGTCTCTCTCTACTGCACCTCATCTTCGTATGTGCATATCAGGCAGAGTTATTTATCCTGCGTTTGGTTTTTCAACACCCCGTCTTGTAAAAGCAGGGCTCCCAGGCATGAAGCAGTCAAAGCTGCTCTTCCCTCACAACCCGTCCCACCTTAGCTGGAGAATTTATGGCCAAGTCGTCGCCCCTGAGACGGAAGCCGAGAAGGAGCCTTCCCGGGCCCTCGCTGAAACTCGGCACCCTCCCTTGTTTTTGACGCACCGCCTCATTTCGTCTTCTTTTTTGGGACGTGTTCGACACCCCGGGGTGATGCCAACTGCTGGAGCTGTTTGACACCCATCCCTCCACACCCGCCTGGTCACCTGGAGCCACGGCTCTCCGCTCTTCATCTCTCCTGCATTTTACCCAAGTAACCCGTTCCCCCGGCCCTGCACTTCAAAAAATTTGTTTCCCAAATCAAAAGGGTCGGTGCGCATTGTTGAGGTTTCGAACATTATACCGGTGTCATGTAAGCTGCTTGAACAGAACAGCTGCAGGTAATTCACACAGAGAATCCCAGGCTCTATTGTCGCTGTTGTCTGATGGCTCCTGCTGAAGCCAGCAGTGGGTGTAAAGTCCTCTCTGCCATTAACACTTCAGCCCTGTGGCCTGTGTGCTTGGCAGCTGCCTGCTCTGTAAATGAAACCAGAAGATGCTGGCGGTTTGGACAGCGCTAACGCTGGGACCACATGCTAGTTGGGCTACTAAAAAGTGCAGTAGCTCTGACAAGTATTGTGTCGCGAGCCAAAAGAGCTTTGTCATACGCCCACGCAAAAAATATCTCCAAAATAGAAGCTTTATGTTACAAAAGGAGACCAGGAGCTATGAGGTCAGCCGCATGTAGCTGCATTTGTAATGAGATAAACCTCTACATTTCAGTTGCTGGGATCATTTAACAAAGAATAAAAGCCCTGCGGCACCCGAACATATTGTCTCCTGACAAATCCGTGGCGGAGGGGGTGAATTGTGGTACAATTGAAGAGCAAAATGATATGCTTAACTCTTCAAAAAGATTAATTTAATTGCAGCTGATACCCTGTGGCACACCGCATATTAGTAATATTTAAAAAAATAAAACCCGTGTACAAGTTTGTCAGTGCATGTAATACACTTTTTGGTAATACGTCCACCAAAAAAAAAAAAAAGCACAAAACAATTCAGATTCAATTCACAGCATGTTTTTGGGAAGCCGGCGGCCTGAATGTAGAACGGTGACGCACAATAGCAAACAAAATGACGCTGATCTTATAAGTCACGATCGTTGTACTCCCTGAGGCACTCCTAAAATGATATGGTTGCACTTCAATAAGCTGATTATGGAGCAGAAACAGGACCTTCTTCTGAAGCTTTGTTGAGTTCTGCTGAGCAACATCGGTGGCGTCATCGTCCTTAAGCGATATATCCACGATTTACGTAATAATCACTGATCTCACTGACTTAACACCGTTGTGGAGAAATGACTCGCGAGTCCTCACAGTGCTGTTTGACAATTCATATCAACATGGCACCAACGCGCTGTGTATTTTCCTTTTTAAATACAAAAAAACATCTACATCTTCAATCATTAAGTGGATCCCAAACTTCAAATTCATCCTCTTTACATCACAAAATACGCCAACATGATAAATGGACCTGAGTGTGGAGAGGGAAAAGAACGGCGAGCCTTTTCCGTTACACTAGTATTTGAGGTTAAGATTCTTTGGACTGGGCCGGAGAACATTTTTCCACGCAGTCAACTGAAAGTGCACACTCTGCCCTCTCACAAATGATCATTTGACCCAAAAAAAACTCCCTCTCTTTACAGGCTCTGATGCTGAAACTGTGGATTTGTACTCACCACCAGATGGGATAGCCTCCAAGCACCCGCGAGCTGGACAACCACACACACATCAAATATCCAGTCAGATACAAATCCATGAGGTAAGCCTTGTAGTGTGTGTGTGTGTGTGTGTGTGTGTGTGTGTGTGTGTGTGTGTGTGAGTGAGAGAGAGGGTAAAAAACCCCGGATCAATACATAGAACTTCCAGCAGGCAGTGAAGAAGAAGAAGAGTTTCCAGGAAGAGAAGCTTTAGGGCAGCTTGATTGTTGAATGAGGGTTGAAGATTAAAAATGATATTGAGAGGAAAAAAAAAAGATCTTCCTCCTGTTTTCCCCCCTTCTTTGAGTCGGGCCAGGAAAGTGTGTCTGTCTCCTAGTAGTTAAGAGAATAAGTGTCTCTCACACACATGCACACACGCTACCCGTCCTCTCCTTCCCTCCCTCTCTCTGAGGTTCTTCCCTAAGGTAGATATCTTTTTCTCTCTCTCTCTCTCTACTTTTTTCTCCCTCAGGATGCCTCATCCACAGGCCCAATATTAAAGGAGGGAGGGGGGGGGGGGGGGGGGGAATGGGGTTTGGAGATGTCAGCTGGCAAGCCAATCACAGAAGATGGCCTTAGGTTACGAAAAAAAAAAAAAAATTATTATTCGTTCCCATCTGTCAATCACACGCCACCCCCTGGTAATGTGGAAAAGAAAGGAAAGAGTGAAAAGAGGGGAGGGAGGGAAATAAGAGAGAGGGAGGTATGGAGGAGGGACGCGCAAAGAAAAGGTAGAGAGTAGAGTAGAGTTGTTACTCAACTTGTTTCATGTGTGATCATTGAGGGAAAGAAAAGTCCCTCCGTTTAGGTCGGCGAAGGGATGAAAGCCAGCGTCTCCTGCAGAAGACTCAGCTCGGGGGGTTTAGCTGACGTACATGTTGACACATTGATTTTTTAGGGGTTGTGCCCTGACTAATTGATCCGGATATATACTGTGTGCACACACACACACACATACACACACACGTCAACACACGCATAATCTCCGTCCCGCTTACAGGGATATATATATATATATATATATATATATATATATATATATATATATACAGTGGATTTTCTAAATTGTTGTCCGCCCACCCCACCAGGGGAAGGACACAATAAAGCCATAAACTGCGGCGGTGGCTGGGCCAGGCATCCAGCGGCCCAAAGGCGACACATTTTACATCAATACTATTGTCATTGTGATGGGGCTGTGGGGCGAGCAGCCGCGGGGACAAGGGGGGAGGACGGAGACGGGGGGGAGAGAGAGAGAGAGAGAGAGAGAGAGAGCGAGACAGACGGACGGACAGGGTGAAGGAGGAGGGTGGGACACTTGTGATGGACCTCTTAGCCTGAAGTAACCAGTGCGTTTGATTCTCACACACACACGCAAGGAAACTGATCAGGACGAATGCAAACAAGATACCCGGCAGAGATCAAACAGAGTGATAACGATCTAGTGAGGAGATTTGTCTCAAAGGATTATCAGTCAGTCGTGGAAAGAACGACCGCCGACGACATTGGTGAAAGCAGTAGTGAAGGGTTTCATCGGTAGAAGGTTCATCACAGAACATTACTTTTTTTTGAGAAAAGTGAGGCTCTGGAGTTTCTCGACCATTTTGAATGTTACTGTAGAAGTCTGTGTTACGGTTGTAGTTTCTGTAGATGAATTTCAGGACAGTTCCCTCGTTGGTGACTTGATTAAATAATCACAATCGTAGTTTTTTACTTTAAACGAGACTTGAAGGCCTTTTTGAAAACATCTTTTTTTATTTATTTGACTTGTCACTTCAACACATTATAAATCTGTTTACAAGTGATTAGAGCAGATGGATTACCTGATGGGTTTCACAACATGTTGAGTGTGTGCTGCCGTGTGGAAGACAGCCTTTAATACGCTTTATTGATTTCATCTGGATTTGATATTGTAGCAACAAAAAAAACTGAAAACAGAATGGAAGTAATTTTCGTGGCCCAAACTCAATTACAGACATTTGATACCTGCGTTTGTTTCCAGTCGTAGATTAGTCAGGAGACTCGAATATCAAACTTTCACTGTCGTTAAATACCAAGTTTGACATGGACAAGTCACTCTAACACGAGTCTTATTTTGGATATCCTTAAATATCCCAAATATCCATGAATGTTGTCTTTTCCTGGTTTTAAAGGCTGCATAACAATGAAGTGATGTAATACTCTGAATTACCACACTGTTATAGCTGTTCTTTTAGTATTCTTTACCCGCTTAGTCATTATATCCACATTACTGATGATTATTTAAGAAGAAGAATATTTTGTTAAAAGACCAACAGTCAACCCGACAATATTGCCACAATATTGATTTCGAGGTATTTGGTCAAACATATGGTGACACATCTCCCAGCATTAACTGTCACTCTTAATTGATGTTAAATGTGGAGCTTCTACTTCTATAAAACAAGCGGACAGCTTTCCCCTCCATAGGTTTGGGTCAGGATTACATTTCTACACTGACAGAACTTCTATCTCTGGTACAGTATTTACTAGTTGAGTTATAAAACATCTCTGTTGTTCGTTGCTTTGCGGGGGCCGAGGTCTCTCTGCTGAGGACCTCCAGAGAGAGAGAGGGAGGGAGAGGGAGGGAGAGGGAGTTCAGAGAGGACCAGAGGGGGCTGGAAGGTCGCTCAGCAGGGGCTGGGAGCGTGCACTCTGCAGGGAGAGAGAGAGCGGTGACCACAGTCTGGAGGTCAGTTGTGGAGTGTTTTATTCCTCCTTAACAAAGAAGACGGGGAAACAGGCAGTGAGTGAGCAGCACTCGACCTACCGCCCTGTTTGAGAGGAAGGGGGGGCTCTAAATGTGACAATAATTGATAGATATCTTTGTGAAACTTGTATGAATCGCGCTCTCCTGCCAGTCGTGGTGGAGAGTCCTCTACATTATACCAACAAAAAAAAAAAAGATGGCTTCTCAATGCCTCGGGTGGAGCATGTCAGATAACGATGCGGGTCTGCTTTCGATCACGAACATCGTCGTGTGTTACAGCATCGCCAGAAATGTGCCGAGCTCAGCTCTGCGCTACGACAGCGGTCTAATTTATGAGTGCAGGCGAGAGGAATCAGTCTGCGTTCTGCATCTGAACAACATTGGAACCACGTTTTCCCAGGTCGAGGCCACAAGTGCAACGTGAGCTGTCGGGGGGGGG